ATTGCAGATCTTGTGTCTTTCATTTTTCTTTTAAGGTTGTAGTGAATGCCCTTGCGGGAGCTATTCCTTCCATTGGAAACGTACTACTTGTCTGCATTGTTCTCTGGCTCCCATTTAACATCCTAGGAGTACAGCTGTTCAGAGGAAAATTTTGGAGCTGCAACTCATCTGTTCCAGTTGTAAACAGGAATGACTGTGTCCAGATCAATGCACCGGTGAACTTTGACAATGTTATGAAAGGATATCTGGCTCTCCTGCAGGTGGTATGTTCAGTCAGGGATAGATTCTCTAGCTGTAAAACAAGGCAGATGCATGTAGAAAAAAGGGGGATTTTCTGTATTCAGATTTCTAAAGGACCTTTATATATTAGTTTTTGCAATAAAAATCTATTTTTTCCTATGCTGTTCCAATATTGGATAGTTTAAATAAACTAGATAGGTAGGTAGGCAGGCAACATGACTGAAATTTAACAATTATTTGCTGCTGTACACTTGCAAATTCTGAAAGACAGTATTAAATTTATAATAAATTTATCTTCTTGCTTTTAAAAAATTATATATTGGGCACCTCCTAGAATCTGGATTTATTTATTTATTTATTTATTTATTTATTTATTTATTTATTTTATATTCTGCCTTTCTCCCAACATGGGACCTAAAGCAGATGAGGACAGCCTAGCTGCCATGAACAAGCACTGGTGATGCAGGCCACAACTAGAACAAAAGGGTCCATCCCTCTCTTTTTATTTGGATCTTAAGAATATGAGGTACTGTACGCCAAACTAGATGTGATGGGCAGCCAGATTTGGTTGTGGTGCTTGTATGTCTACCCTCTTCAACATCTAAAGTTTCAGACATCAAACTGGAATCCCAGTTAAAACGATCTGAGTCTTTCCCTGTTTCCTATGGCTTGTGTCTATAAGTACTTCCCATGTAGTCTAGTTCCAATACTTGGAGGAAGTCGGGTATTGGTGGCTGAGGGCCAAGTAGGGGACCATCTTAGTTCACCACTTCAGGGTGATCTGTCTGTTTAGAGCAGATCCACTCCTGGAGTTAGGCTAGGAAAGAATATCCTTGTAGCAGCAGAGCATATGGAAATAAAAGAGTAGTAATGTGAGAGATATGGAAGGCAGCCCCATCTCTGTTTTTATACACATATGGGGTAGAGTTGGGGGGGGGGGAAACTAATATCCTTGTCTCATCAAGTCTACTGTAGATTTTAGTAGACAGATGAGGAAAAGGTAGCAAACCAAATTCACTCTTGGATACAGAACATTTTCTAGTGGGGAAGAAGCTCATGATGCAGGAACTTAATTCTACTCCTCCATCTTGACATTTGTTTCCCCCACTATGAAACAAATTAGGCAAAATCACTAACAAAGCACTTTAATAACTTGTTATATTTCTATGCATCTTTATCCAGGCAACATTTAAAGGCTGGATGGAGATTATGTATGCTGCAGTAGATGCACCCAGTGATGTAAGTCATAAAATGTTGTTACAGATTTTTGTTGTTGCATATTTTATGGAAGAATTACACTAATATGTTATTTAGATGAAACGATATGTCACTTGATGGTCTCTGACTGACAGAATTGGTTTCACTATGTGTATTTTTGGAAAATTTATGTTACATTCTCCTTTCCCTCTTTACATAGACAGGTGACTTTGGTCACTCACTCTTGGAGACTGTTTAACAGATTTTCTCTCAAGATTCTAAACAGTCTCCTCAGTACAGTAACAGTCTCCTCTGAGTGAGGTTAACAGTTTCTTCCTGCTATACCTGAACCATCACCAGTTAGGAGAAGATTTAGTTTGTTATGTATTAATTAATTAAAGTCATTATTATTTGTTTTTAAACAACGAACTGCATGTTCGTCAGTTTTTGGAGTAAGTCTTTATTCTTTAGAGAGGCAGATTTGGAATAAATAGTCTGACTCACACTTTAGCTGTTGCTGCTGATGAAAGTTGAACTCTAACAAGTTTAACTTTCATACTTGCATGTTTTTGTTTCCTTTTAAAAGGTTTAACAGCCTGGGAAACTTGAATTGCACCCCACGGTTTTGTACTAATTTTATGTTATTTCTGAAACTAAGGGCCAATGCAGAAGGCCCGTAAGGAGCAGCTCTGTGCCACCTCTGGGAGCGGTGGATTGGGGCTGTGGCAACCACATGCTGTGGCCTTGATCCTCCTTTTTGCTGCCCCCAAAAGAGAGAGCAAATGCTGCTCCCTTTTGGGGTGGCAAAAAGCTGCCCTTTGAGCTGCTACTGCAGCTCTTTTGCACTCCTTTGATGCAGTGTATGCACACGCTGCGCCAAGAGGGTGCCCTGATGCCACGTGCTGTGCGGTCAGGTGTTCGGCGTTTGGGTGGAGTTGGGGCAGTTGGCGTGCGGTCCCCCAGCCCAAACTCCACCCCCAAGCCAGCCTAAATTGCCGGTCTGCATCCCCCCTAAATTTCAGTAGGCTACAATGACAACCTGAGCTTAAATTAGAATTAATTAACTAATTTACTACCTTTCCCCCAAGTGGGACCCAACATAACTGCAACATGAATCAAAACAAAGTGCATGAGATAATAAAAAAGGTAAAAAAAACATTTATAAGCTACCATACTAAAACATCAATACTTTAAACAAATATAAAATCATTTAAAACCAGGGCAATAACAGTAAAAAACAACAACAACACACACCATTAATGACCTTTCCATATTGCCATCTCATCACTAAACACTCACTCAAGCATTTGGGGAGATACAGTCTTTTCAGATAATAATAATAATAATAATAATAATAATAATAATAATAATAATAATACTCACAGACTGGAATTTGATGAAGCGGCATGGACAATGGCTAGAGTGCAAGTGGCGGAAATCTCG